ACATTAAGCACAGTACACAAACTTCTTAGTATACCCATATAGATAACAGCCTGAACAATTCTTTATATATGAAAAAAAGAAAATCAAAATTATTCATGGTAATACTTGCTAACACAGACAGCCACATAATAATCATAAACGCTATGGGTCGACACAAAGAACAAGCCGATCCATAGCCATAGCAACCACGGACACCAGCCACATCAAACCCAAATGAGAAATTAAACACCAAAAAATCATATGAATCCCTGAATTTAAGGGTGAGAAAAGCATCTAAATGATGATCATAATAGGCAAAATGCTGTGATAGAACAGAATAAAAAGAATCTGCCAGTGTTTCTCCAATCCAGGAAAACATCTTAGTGATAAATTGATGCACAAATCTTCAGGCTAGGACAACAAGGTGGTGACTCATAAATCAAATCAAATTTGCCATACCTGGTCTCATTATCAAAGCCAGCACGTGCAGCAATATAGAAGGCATAAGAGTAAATCCATATATCGCTATGGATTGCAATATGAGCAATCCAGTCCTTCAATTTCATCTCATCTTTGGCGAAGTTAACCCCTAAGGATGGTTCAGGAAATTCGTGGGGAACAACAGGAGCTTCCTTTACTTCCCAAGTCTCATTCGGATACCCATAAAGACACATGTAGGGTTTTTCTGCAAAATAATCATAATACCAGGAATCATATTCAGTACTGTTCATGATAAATAATAGACGATTTATTTGGAGGTCATAGGACTTCACTTAGTTTTTGATACTGGCAAACAAGAACTACCAGCTGACCCTTATAAACATGGTAATCATATAAATTACAGTAAAATAACTCTCAGAGACCTCCGGAAAATTCAATGTTGCACCAGATTCCAATACAATTTAAAACTGCAAAAATTAGAAACACAGATCCAATTAAAACTGCAAAAGTTAGAAACACAAATCCACTAGAAAGAAGTTAGAACATCCTTAAATCAAATCAAAATGCCAAGCATTTTCTTCTTAATATTAAACAAGTTCAGGTGTTCAGATGCCTCCACGAAGCGCCTACACTGTTGACTTAAAAAGTTACCCATTTCAACTTAACAGTATCGAGTTTGTGACTAACGAACGTCAATCAACAGCCAAAACTCCAAGAACTAATAGAAGATAAGTAGAGGGATATGCACAAGGAGGAAACGTTCTAAGCAAAGAGAAGCAGACATAGAGATGGAGGGCTGACTCACCTGGATCGCACTGCTCATAGAACTTAATAAAATCTGCAACACCACCATCGAGAACAAAACACACGTTAACATAAAAGCAGCAAGAACTGGGAAAGGGATCAAGAACAACAAGGGCTGCTAAAACTTCCAAGAAAGCAGAGAGGAAAGAAAGACCAGTGGTGAGAGCCTTGATCAAGCCGGCTCTTCTGCCCAGGAAGTCCCGGAAAAGCATATCGATTGTCCAAGAAGTGATAGGTCTCCCATTCAGGTCCATCGGCGCGCGCTGCTTTAGACGGTGGGAAGACGATTCGGGGTCCCCAATGGCAGATTCTAGTGAGGAATTCAACTAGAAATGAGGAAGGAGGGTAACTTTCGGCGAGGAAGATTAGGGGTTAAGGATAGGGTTCGACGAGAGAGGAGGAGAAGAAGAGGGAGAAAATGGCGGAGGAATGATCTGAAATGGGTTTTGGTTCCCCGCTCCGGAGTTTGATGAGTTCAGGGTGGGGTTACGTCACCGTGGCGCAACCGTGACATCTACATTTGGACAAATGACGGTTGTGTCCTGGTGAAAATATGACTTCACCAGGTTGATGGGTCGGGCCGTTCAGAAAAGTTTCTCGGGTGGCGGCGGCCATAACCATGGGCCCCCGAGGTCTCGAGTTTGAAGACACGGTTACTATATAATTAAAGATATGACAATCAATTATTTGGGGATCGCTGCAACCTTAATTTACCTCAATTTCTGTATGATAAATTCTGATTAAAAAACATTATTTTTAATCTGAATTTATATATATAGGATTGTTTAAGATATTTTTAAAGTGAAAATGTTATGTCATTTGTACGAAGATCGAGATCGAAAGAGATTTCTCAATCTAATCTTTCCGATTCAAAATTAGTAAATGGAGGTCTCCAAATATGGTTTCCTGTTGTTTCAAAAAAGAGAATCATCTCTCTGTTCAAAATATATTTCTATATAAGAATGAGAATGAAGTTTATGATTGATTCTCTTATCATAATAAATGATAAGGAAGCTTGTGTTTGCTTCCTTTGAATCTTCGATGTAGGCAGATGAGTAGAGGATGACATAGAACTCATGTGGCGATCAAGTGTTAGCTAATGGTAGATTTCTTATCAATTATCCCCTCTGAAGGTATGCTTTGGGTCTTTTATGAGAAGGGTGATGGGGATATAAACAGGAATAATCTTTGTATATGAACAAATACTAGAAGACCATAATACGCAACGGAATTAAATGGAACCACAATAAAATAGAACACCAAGATATACGTGGAAAACCCCTTCAATGTGAAGGGTAAAAACCACGAGAATAACTGGGATACAAGGGTCACGTCACTGCCTACAATATCTAAAACCTCCCCAAGTAATCACAGCAAGAGTCTACTGTAGATTTGATCTAACCTGAGATGAGAACACTGCTAGATGATTGAGAACAACCTCTCTGCGTTGTCCTTATCTTCTTTCCTTTCTTTCTCTTCCTTTTTTGCCTTGTTTTTCTCCTTTTCTTTGGAATCCCGTGGCTGTTCTCTTCTCCCACGTTGCTGCCCTATTTATGCCTTTTTCTGCCTCCAAAACGCAACCACCACACCCCCCCTAATGTTAATTAGGGTTAGGTTAAGAGGGGTGAGCTGTGGGCTACCCAAGCCCACTATGGGCTGAATTTGTGGGTTGCCAGCCCAACAAAGGGTTCGAAGCACGTTGTTTAGTTCATATGAGCGTTTGAGATCTTGTCTTGTAGGTTGGGTTTTTCTAACTCAGGTGTCTCGAGCACACCTTGGCATATGCCTCAGTCATGGTGAATTTCATTATATGTGGGTTAGATTTTTCTGATTCACATATCTTGGGCACATTAGGTTTATGTTTTTATTATAGCAGATTTCTCTTGGTGCATGCCGTATTTCTCGATATATATGTATTATTTCTTAATATACATGTCTTGAGCATATTTCGCCTTGTGTCTCTGCCATAGCGAATTTCTCTTAGCACAAGTCGGATTTGTCCTCATGCCTCCATTGTAATAAGATATGTCTTGGCACGGGTCGGGCTTCTTGACTCACATGCCTCAAGCATATTTTACACCACACCTCCGCCATGATGGATATACCTTGGCACGGGTCAGATTTCTTAACTCATATGCCTCGGGCACATTTGGTCATATGCCTTTAGTGCGATGGATGTACCTTGGCATGAGTTGGGTTTCTCAACTCACATGTCTCGGGTACATCTAGCTCTATGCCTTTGTCATAGTGGATTTACCTAGGCGTGGGTGGGGTTTCCCGACTTATACACCTCGGGCACATCTGGCCTTATGCTTCCGCCATGACGAATTTTGGGTCTTTCTATCGTAGTGGATTTAAGTCCTCTCTCAATTGTAGTAGATTTTGAATCTTTTCACTATGACAGGCTTTAAATTCTCTCTATCGGCGGATTTGAATTACCCTCTCTATCGTGGTAGATTTTGAATCTACCCACTGTTGCGGGCTTCAAATTCTTCTTCTACCATAGTAGATTTCAAGTCCCCTCTTTGGATCTTCTCACCTTGGTGGGCTTTGAGTTCTTGCTCTATCATGGTAAGTCTTAGACCTTCTCGCCGCGGTAGGCCTCTTAGGAATTGGCCCCGAAGGGACACTTATCTTGATCACAAGAGGAGAGAGGTCGATCTCCTCCTTATAAATCTTCTTCCACCGTAGGTGAAATTCATTCCTCCATTTGAGACTCCAAAGTCCAAAGTCTTCAGAGACTCAGGAGTTCTTAGCCTTGCCCCTAAGGTCTCCTTCAGAGAGTCCCCCCCCCCCCCCACCTCAGTTCTCTGCAAGGCGAGTCGGTCTTCAAGTCCTTCGTCTTGGCATTAGTTTGCTCTTCTGTCTTATGTCGAGATGTCTCTTCTCTCTTGTACAAGTACTTCTCGATTCTCTAGCCGTCAGTGGGTTAAGGTTTGTGCTCCATTTTTGAACCATCAAAGGGCAAAGGAGGTCAGGTCCTCTTTATTAGAAACTCTCCCATGGACCCGATGATTCTTCAAGACTTGGAGTCCATGAGGAGTTCTCATAACTATGATTAAGTGATGAGCACATCTCTCTTGGATTGCTTGTGAATTAGGTATTTTGTCTCGGTTGAGTTTTGTTGAATCTCGAATTTTGATGATGAAATCAAATGATTTACGATCTAATCCATGTGTTGAGAAAAGTGATGTAGGACTAATTACGATCATGAAAAGGTAAAACAATTAAAGAATCAGATGTTGGGCCGAAGTCAAAGATCGGGCATTGGGCTGGAAGAATCAGATAATGCACCGAGAATGAATGAATCGAGCATTACACTGAAGGTTCGAACGATGCACCGAAAGCTCGCCGAGAGTTCGTCGGAAGTTTATCGGAAGTTCGAATGAACAATTGATATACCGGATAACTGAGATTGCTTGTATTGAATTGTTTTAGCCTTAATTATCATAATTAAGTGTCAATTTGAATTAGTTTGGGGAGTAACCATACTAACTCAATTAGGGGCCAATTGGGCCTAGTTAGGGTTATTTTAGGCTAAGTGGAAGGCTCATTCAGTGACCCTTAGTTGGCACAAGCGGTGGCATCGCTTGAGGCTCGACCTCCTAAGCTGTCTAGGCGGTGGTATTATCTAAACTGGCGATAGTACTACCCAGACACAGTCTCCCAAACTATGTCAGATGGTGGTACCGTCAAATTGAGTGGTGGTATCGCCCAGTGTTAGTGTTAAACTAGGTGGTGGTACTGCTCAGTGTCAGATTGATAGGCGGTGGTATCGCTAGTTGTCAGTCCGACAGAGGCACTTGAGAAGGAAAACTTACCACTCAAAGAAACTTTAGAAAAGTTTCAGGTTGGTAGCAAGTCCTTGAACATGATCCTTGCCAATAAGAGTCACGTTCATAGAAAAGGTGGAATCGGATTTGTGAGTAGTTCTCACCAAAATCTAACCACCTTCGTTAAAGGCCCTACCTTGCATGTATCACCTGCATCAAATGCAAGTTTTGTTACAAACTAGGACATGTTGTTTACAAATGTCCGTTTAAGAGATATAGTCTACATAAATTGATTTGGGTTCCTAAAGGAACCGTAAAGAACTTCATGCAAAATGATAAGTTGAGTAAATCGATTTTTGAGGTACCTAAGGTCAAATGGTTACCTAAAAATCACCCTTCTTTATAGAAATATTTATCATCACAAGCTAGGAGCAAAAATAATATATTGATAGTGGATACTCAAAGCTTATAACCGGAGTTCTAAAATACCCCATAAAGCTCTCTAGCCAAGACAATAAAGAAAAGATCATTAGAAGTAGAACTATTGGTTGCAAAATGATTGAAGATGCTTTATATTCAATCATGCTTGATGACTTGATGGTATAATGATTATTTGAAATCTTATGTTATAAACATTTGATCTTGATTTCTTGATATTTGAAACTTGAGAATTCTTACGTGTGAGTTCCTCTTTTATATTTTCTGAATTTCTTGAGCTTTGAAAATTAAATTTTATTTTTTGAGATTGTTTACTTTTATTCCTTCTCTTTGCAATTCACAAAACAAAAGATCTGATTCATGAATCATCGATATGTTTGAACTAATCATTTTTATAAGTATTCTTACGAAAGTAAAAACTTCGAAATGAGTTGATATGATGTTTATACAAATAAGCGTTTGCATCATACAATGACTATGATCTTGCTTGTCTCAAATGAAAAGGAGGCAAAATTACTTGTTTGCTGTATCTCAAAACAGAAGCAATGATGCAAGACATTAAAACAAAAAACAACAACTTGAGGAAAAATAGTGCATCGGCGATGGCACCGCTAGTAAGAACTAGTTGTAGGTGGTGGCATCGCCTAGCTGGTGGTAGCACCACCCGTAACCCTACCCTATATAAACCCTTTTAGGGTCGACGGTAGAACCGCCCCCAAGCCTTCCTACACCTCTTCCCCACACCTCTAAATCCTTCTCCACCTCTCATTCTTCTTGCTCTTCCTCTAAAAACCTAAGAAAACCCTTCTCTTCTACAAATCTAAGAATCAATCTCAACTTTTCAAGGGATCACTACAAGGGTAATCCTCAAAACTTTTCTCTCAATTAATTGATATGATCTTGCTTCTTACTTGTAGTTCTCTCATTGATAACTTGTGTAGTTCCAAGGCATCTAGAAGATCCTCAAGAGACAAAGGAAAAAGGAGAGTAGATGAAACCTATGATTTCATACTCTTTGATTCCCCTCAACATGCCCCTAAATTCCCAACCTTTGAATCTAGAAGTGTTCATAAGCGAAAATATGTAGATCTAGGAGAATTGAGTAATTTAGAACTAATTCAATGGTTCGCCAACTTAAATGTCCTTCCAATCATCCAATTAAGTGAACTCATTTATCCTAGACTTATTCATTTGTTTTACAATAACTTGCATGTGGATAAAAGCGATAGGGTGTCCACTTATCTCTTAGGGCATCACATATCCATCACGGATAGCGTAATTTACAACATCGTAGGAATTCTTCAGAAAAGAAGAGGTTGTTACTTTAAAGGGCTATAGGATGAAGAATCAGTTGGGGTCACATATTTTGAGGTATTAGAAACTATCTTTGATAACCCAAATCTGTCCATCGTTTCAAAAAGTTGTGAACATTTACTACCTTTTAGCACAACATTGTTTCGTCACATCGTGATAAGTATCCTACTTCTAAAACAACACCATTATGATAAAGTTAGTTAAATGGAATTAGGAACAATGTATTGGATTATGATAGGACATGATAACTATTTTGGATATCTGATAAAACAAAACATGATTGAACTCCTAACAAAAGATATGATGCTTCCATATGGTGGTTTAATTACTAGACTAATGCATACACATAACATAGTTATTCCATCTGATGAAGAAACCTTCAAACTAGATCGGTTCAATGTCATCAATGGAAACCTATTAAGAAGATTAAGATGCATAATAAGAAACGAAATTTGGACTAGATTATCTAGGAGGATTGAACCTCCCCCACTTGAACCAGAACTAGAACCAGAAACACCTGTATATAGGGAAAGTCATTCTCCTCCTACCAATTCCCTTGAGGTAGCACCTCCAACAGAGCAAGCACCCTCCTCATCTGCCGATCCAATAGTGACTCAACTGGATCGAATTGAACTACGTCAAGATCAAATATTAACCGAGATGTAGCAAATTCGTCAGCAATTGAATACTTTGTTTAGGCATTTTGATTTACTATCACCTGAATAGGTTATGTATTTTCTTCTGCTAATAAAAAGAAGTAGGGAACTAAAAAGCACCAAGATGAGTTGTATTCTTTAATACTTCTTATATTTCATGACGTACCCTTTGACGTCATATGCTTTTCAATATTATGATACGCTTCTTGATGATGGTTTAATGATTGCAACACTCTAAGAATTTGGCATGATAAATCTATTGAGTGCATAAATTCCTTGATACATTCTTCGAATTTCTCGGTTTTCTTTTTAAATCGAGAACGTCTTTCTTTCTCGTGATATTTACAAAAGAAAAGATTCAATTTTGGTCTTATTTCTCATGTGATGATTATTTGCAAAGTTAGGGATGTTAAATTATCCGAATGCATGAGTTTGTTATATATCTTTTTCGGACTTTCTTGATTTTTGTAAATAAGGCTTTCATGAAATCTGGAATATCAATTTACTTGGTATCAAATTTATTTCACATCATTGCTCCATCACTTAATGATTTTTGATATACTTAGTCCCTTCTCTCATAGATTTCATTCTTGGATTTTTGATCCTTCGTTTGATACTCCTTTTCCATGAATTCTTCCTTATTCTTCTCATGAAAGAAGAATTTTTATGGACTTTTAGTATGTGACGATCACTTATAAGGATTTGATTTTGTATGGACATCTTGATCCTTTTTAATTAATCCTTTCTCTTTGTTAAAGTAGAACCATGATTTGATGAAACTCATTTGTTCTTTTTGGATTTGACTTGATTCAAATCCTTTCATGAATTTGGTTCTTGATGAATTCCTTTCTTTACTCTTCTTCTTCTAATTTTTTTAATGACAAATAAAGAAAGAAACTTGCACATCTCAAGAAGAACTAAAAAGCTTTTGCATATTTTAAAAACAAAAAGTAGTTTCATGCAAAGCTTTTGCCTTCCTTTTTGGCTTGGATAAATTGGTGTGGAACTTGCTTAAATTTTTTTAACACACTTGCATTATTGAATGGTTCTCTTTTTTTTTTTTTATGACAAAGGGGGAGAAATGTGGTAAATTGATAACAAATTGGTATAATGTGTAAAATGTATCTTATCGTAAATGCTTGAATGTTTTACGAATGCTTGAAATATGATTAGAATCATCAAATACATCGCAACACATCGTAAATACTTGAAACATATCAAAATGTATTGCATATGCATCATATGTATAATAGATATTTGAAATATTTCATGAATGCTTGATAAATGTCTATCATTATGATAAGGTATTATGAGCTTAATTTTCTACTTACAATTGACATCATGTCTCGGATTGATGAAATTATCATCTTTAAAATTTGAATCTTGCTAAATTTTATATTTGAAATTCATATCATACTTGAAAATGATGATTGTCTATCATCATTCTATATTGAACTTAAAAATGGATGTCATGCCTTGACATCATTTATATTGTGATAAATACGTGGTATCGTATTTTGAGATGGTAAATCATGATTGGTATCATGATGTGCATGTCAATGCAACTTATCGGTTTGATGATTGAATTCAAAGGCCTTGAATTTAAGAGTGTCTTTTCTCAAGTATAACATATCGATAGGGGGAGTTAATGTTAACTCCGTCATCAATTAATTATCATCATAAAAAAAGGAGAGATTGTTGAATCTCGAATTTTGATGATGAAATCAATTGGTAAATTATTTGATCAAATCTATATATTGAGAAAAGTGTGCAAGATTAACTACGATAGTGATTAAGGCATAGAGCAAAACAAAGTGCCGGAGTTGAGATCGAGATTTCGTTAAGAGTTCGAGAGTTCGTCGGAAGTCCGAAGGTTCGTTGGAAATGTTGTCAGAATTGATCGAGAAGAAGCTCGTTGGAATTCACCAAGAAGATCGTCGTGAAGTCTAGGAGCTTGCCAGAAGTCTACTGGAAGATTGCCAAGAGATCGTCGGAAGTCCGCCGAAAGATCACCAGAAGAAACCTAGACTTACCGTGCTTGTTTTGTTTAGTGTAAGCCTTAAAAATCATAGTTAGCACATAATTAGGGTTATATTTGGGAGGTAATCCCATTAATTTTGTTAAGGGCCAACTGGGCTCGTAATTGAATTGGTTTGGGCCGGATTCATGGCCTAACCAGGTTGCTGGACCCTGTCTGGTGGTGGCACCGCCAGATTAGGCTGGTGGAACCGCCCAGGGAACGGTCTCCCAAGTGGTCTGAGTGGTGGTACCGCTGGTAGTTATTACTGCCAAGCAATGGTACTACCCTATCAAGCAGTGGTACCGCTAGAGCTCAGTATCCGAGACTTTGTCAAGCGGTGGTACCATTAGACTAGGCAGTGGTACTGCCTAGTGTAAAAGTGTTAGGTAGTGGTACCACCTAGTACTGGCGGTGGTACTGCCAATACCTTGAAAACTCGGGATGAGACATTTTTTGGCTCCAATTTTGAAGTCATTTGATCCTATAAATATCTCACCCTTTTCTGTATGAAAGGGTAACAAAGTGTAATCAAAGTGTGAAAAAATATTTAAGTGTTGGTGTGTAAAAGTGTTGTACGAGTGTAAAGAGTCCACTTCCTCCCTCTCTTTAGCCTTGTAGTAATCCAAGAAGAGGTGTGAGACTTGTTTATCTCCTAAACCTGTGAAAAGGAGAAAGCGCTGTAAAGAGGTGGTTAGTCTTCACCTATTGAAGGAAGACCATTAGTGGACGCTAGTGACCTCGACGGAGGAGGAATCAAAAGTGGATGTAGGTCACAACGATCGAACCACTATAAATTCTGGTATGTTCTTTCCTTACTACTTATTCTCTTTACTGCATTTTACTTTACTTTATTGCAAACTGTCCAATCCCCTCTTCTCAACTCACTTGCAAACTTATTCGAGTCTAACGGTTTTCGTCGAACTTAGAATTTCATCGAACGAAGTTTTCTGAAATCATTGAAATTTATCATTTTTATCCGCTGCACTAATTCACCCCCCTCTCTTAGTGTCGTTCTTGATCCTAACACATAATGGTGAGAGGCTTGGATTATTGGACAGATGTCAGTACCTCGTTAACATCTACGCTAAAGAGGATGCATCCACATGTGGGAAGGATGATATTTGCTCTCCTGAGTAAAAGTGATATAGGTTGGAGGCAAGGCCTTGTTACTAGAATGTTCGTTGAGAGAATTGGCGGGTAGATGTTCCTACAACATTAGGTCCTCCTAGCGCCAAAATGTTAGGGGAAAAAAAGTTGACGTTTGGATCAAGCCGACATAGTCTAGAATCGTATGCATAGGATTGTCCAAGGTATCTTCAAGATGAAAACATTATGCTCCCAAGTCACCTGAAGATCGAGGTCAGGAGAGGTTTCTCGACCCGATCCTCAATTTATTAAATCGAGATTCTCAAATATGAGTTTGGGTCATTCTAAAAGGAAAATTCTCTTCCCTATTCGAAATATATTTTTATACAAAATATAATTTTATACTTAAAGGATGAGAAAAAAACGTGAGATTATTTTTTTATAATAAAAATTGAGAATAAAGTTTCTGATTATTTTTCTTGTAATGAATAAGAATGAAACTTTGTGATTATTTATGAATCTTTGTGATCACGTGTCATCACATGAGCTTTTCACGATGAAAGGACAAGCTCATGTGATGACACGTGAAGTCTGGTTTGTACTTTTTAGGATGAGCTTGTCACGCCAATTCCGGCATCGAGGTTGTAACAATAGGATAATTTCATTAAGGGAACGGATTTTGAGACGAAATGCAAGGGCAAGCAGAAACCCGCAGCCGGGGTAGTGCCGTCGCCCGATTCTTCTTCTGCGACCGCTTGCAAGATTCCGGTGAGGGCAAGGGCCGAGGAGAACGGCAGGGTGCTGCCTGTCGGGGACGGAGGCCCTCGCGCTACGCCGCCGTGAGCTCGTCATCGGAGAGGTTGAGGTAGTCAGCAGCGGCCACTGCGACGACGGCGGAGGAGGAGAACGCCAAGCTTGGGGCGCGGGAGTTGGATGAAGGGAAGAGAAGAGGAAGTCGCGAGGGGAGCAACGAACGCCCATTTAAAGAGCGCTGGAGCCATCGACTGTGGTCATAGGGGCAAGGAGAGGGCAAATGGCTAAAAGCAAGCATCAGGATTCAGGAACCCCTAAGAGTGGCCACGGAATTGAATAGTGATCTAACTGATGAACAAAGAAATATTGCTGACCGATGAATGGTTCTTTCTTGTATTTCTGAAGCTGAATCTACCCACCGTCACAGCGGAGGAGGTTTCAGGTCCTCGCTCTCTTGTGACGGCGGCATCTTGGGCACCTGTAGCGCTCGAGTTGTTTATAACACTCAGGTGTCACCCTGACACAGTTTTCATGATACCATATCCCTCACACGTCGCATAATATCCAGTACTCGGTATCATCAGAAAACCATCTTCCACATGTGACGCTACTATGGTTAGCTGCCGCGGCCATCTGTTCAGCTTCGTCCTCGACGTCCTCTTCCTCTTCTATCGTAGGCAGAGGCCACCCCAGAACTCGTACTCTCGAACACTGGGAAGGGAAGCATAAAGCAAGAAAGAGTAACATTGCACGATAGTTGAGGAAGAGGGATACAAGGGATGTTGCTAGCTACTGGTAATCGTACTCACCTTTTAGGAGCTCGATTTATCCTTGTTGCTCTCACTGGAGGTGTCTTCCTTCGCGGGCATCTTCACAGTTTCAGATACAATCTCATATATTGTAGGACTACTATTTATCATATTGAAAAGTTGCTGCCTGTACCAGTTAACACCATAAACTTCCATCAGGAGCGCACCCAAGTTGATACATTATGTGCATATAATAACAACATGAGCATATAATAATGGAAAATACCAATAAAATGATTATTATAATAGAACATATAATAAATAGAAAATACTAATGACATGAGCACCCAATAATAGGAGGCACCGAAGGAACAGTTTTTAACTACGACAGAAACACTGATTAAAAGTTAAAATGACATGAGCATATAACAAAACTTATGTTACCAAAAAGCATCTAAACGATGATCATAATAGATAAAATTCTGTGATAGAAGAGAACGAAAAAGATCTGCTAGTACTTGGCCGATCTGGGAAATCATCTTATGATGGATCAGATCAAATCACGCACAAATATTTGAGAGTAGACGATGAAACTACCTGGTCTCGGCATCAAGGCCAGCGCGTATGGCAATATAGAAGGCATAAGAATAAAGCCATGCATCGCTGTGGATTGCAATATGAGCAAGCCACTCCTTTTCTGGCATCCCGTCTCTGGCGAAGTTAATTCCTATGTTTGGTTCAGGAAGTTCGTGGGGAACATCAGGAGGTTCCTTTAATTCCCACGTCTCGTCAGGACACCCATAAAGACACATGTAGGGTTTTTCTGCAAAACAATCACAGGACTTTACTTGGTTTCTGATACTGGCAAACAAGAACTACAAGCTGCTGACTCTCATAACCATGGTACTCATAGAAATCACAGAACAATAAACTCTCAAAGACCAGTGCTCTTAGCACAGACAATCCAATGTTCCAACAAATTTCAATATAATTTGCAAACTCAAATCCGATGGAAAGAAGCTAAATTTATCAATCAACAGCCAAAACTACAAGAACCAATGAAGGACAAGACAAGGGATATGTGCAAGAGACGCAAAAACCTAAGCAAAGAGAAGCAGAGAAAGAGATGGAGGGCTGACTCACGCGGATCGCACTGCTGACGGAACTTTTCATAATCTGCAGCACCACCACCAAGAAGAAAACACGCGGTAACAGTAAAGCAGCAAGAACAGGCAAAACGGATCAAGAACAAGGAGGCCAGCTAAAACTTCCAAGAAAAACGGAGAGGAAAAGAAGGACCAGTAGTGAGAGCCTTGATCAAGCCGGCTCTTTTGCCTAGGAAGTCCCGGAAGATCATATGGATCGTCCAAGAAGTGATAGGTTGCCCTTTCCCTTTCCGGTCCATTGGCGCGCACTGCTTTAAACGAACGCAGATTCGAGTGGGTAACTCGACGTAGGAAAGAGGAAGGAGGGTTAATTTCTGAGGGGGAAGATTAGGGACTGCGGTAGGGTTCGACGATAGGGGAGGAGAAGACGTAGAGGGTTTGGTCACCGCTCCCGCGCCGAGCCGTTTTGATTTCAGGATCACCAACTCAGGAGCTGGTGTCGTGGTCTATAATTGTGGCCCCCACATTTCGCGTATGGATTGCATCGTCCAGCACAAAGGCAGGCAGTTTGGGCATCGAAGGAACAGAGTTTGAGATCGAGAGGATTAAAGTAGATGAAGCCATGGAGCCTGTTAAGAACAATAGCCTCGTCTCCTGAGTTCTCATGATCAGCTAATAATAAAGGTAACAAAGTAATACCATCTCACATATGGAGTCTGCATCTCACTACTGCGATAACTTCCAGATCCAACATAGTGTTGTTTATTATTTCCTAGAAGAAAATGGCATGTCATTCCTTCTGCAACAAACAAATATGGCGATTAGCATTTGGAGTCTTGTAGCACAACCTCTGTTCGATATCACAATAGGAGAGGCAGTGCAGCCACCAAAAGACCATGGATAAGCAGACAAGATAGAAGGTCGTTTGAGCCTGCTCATGTACTGGATGTTTGAGGTTGTAGACTTCATTACCTGAGAGGCCTCATTCCCTGCAGAAGAGTAATGTATCAGTTGCAACTTGGGCAAGAACAGAAACCTGGAGAATGCACTAGGGGAGCATCTTAATTATGTATGCTTGAGTGTTACAGACGCTCACTTTTTTACTTCCTACACAAACTATATATGCCTAAAATGAAACAGAAAAATGAAGCCAGTCAATGATCTTTATAAGCAAATCACATTTCACAAAAGAAAACCGACTAATTAAAGGATACAGTCTCTCACTCTTTTGCTTGTTATGCAAACTATATATATCTAAGACCAAACAGAAATTGGAAGCCAGTCAAGTATTTCTATAAGCAGATCCAATTTCATAAGGAAACCTTTTCATCAAGAAACTGCAGAACAGCATGTCAGCCTCAGACTTTCTTCATGAAGTTAGTTTGAATGGATTCCTCAATTAAGAATGAACTCATTTCTCAATTTAGAGTGAACAAATGCAGTTAAAATAAACATGATAGAATATTCAACATAAAGAAGAAATATGTGAGCCAACATGGTGGTTTATAGAATTCACCATCAGAAAAAAATCTAATAATTGGACCTAATCTAATGCAGCAACACAATGCTAAAGCCAAAGGTTCACTTGGGTTAATTTACGCCTCCTGAAGTTCTACCGACAACTAGGTACACAACCTTAGATTATTACCATCTATGAATTAAAGCTTTTACTTAAATAATAAAGGGAAATGTTGTCTAGGTATTCTAAATTACTCCTCAATAAATAAATGAAAATATTGTTTAGGTGGACCAAATCACTCAAAAAAACATTTCAGGTGTGAAGCAGTAACTCACAGGTCTGATGTATGGAGCGCACATATATAGGCCCCCATTCAACAGGTCCAGGAGAAATGACATCAGGATTGACAGTTCTAAGGGGAGTCAACCAACTTGTCGGTCCAAGAAATGATAATCCAATAAGCACTTTCATGTCGCTGGCAGAACAAGATAACATGGTCTCAAAGATGATATATAAAATTTTGCATTTATGCTGCAAAGCACATTAATATACACTTAAGATGCTTGATAAAACCAAACAGCCTGAACGATTCCCAGCACATTCAGATTACCTGTTCAAAATCACTCGCATCAAGTTCTCCTAGACATGCTTGTTAGAAAAGTTATTATGCATCATCCGGACTCATTAACAGGAAATTCAGATGAATGCTTCGTGCATACACTCCAGAAAAATTCAACTGTCAATCAGATGTTGCAAACAATGAGTGGCATGCAAGATGCCAGCATTTTAGCAGCATAGACTCCACAAATTTGCCAGCCATGTGCTCACCTATGCCCTTAATTTTACATATAAGCACAGTACAGTCATACACCCATGTCATGTCGATTGACTGCATGGTGCAGTATAGCCAGCCAGCACTAAGAATACATCAATTAATTTATCCTATCTCAGCTAACACCTTAAGGTTTTAGATGGACTAGCAAGCATTATAAGTTTAATGCTTTGAATGGATTAGTAAAAACTTAAGATTTATTATGATAATAAAGCAATAGTCCCTTTGTCTGGATCTACAAATGCTAGAAAATTTAACTTCTCACCAACATGCTAGGCTTCATCAGCCATTGTGCCCTACATGTGAGGGGGTATTAAGGATATATATGAAAAAGACTTGTCTCGTCTAACTTCTTAAGCTTTTGGATGGATTGGCAAGGGTTAAAGTTTTAATAAGCAACAAAAAACATTTACAAGAGCAACTTGAAGGATTCTGCTGACTCACAGTCGTACATGTCATTTAAATTATATTTATTATGGTCCAAGTCTGTGCAATATAACATAAGCCACAATCAAGGACTCCAAATATCATGCTCCTTGGTTTCAACTCCTATCCACACTAAGCAAACATTGTGCCTAACCAGTAGACAGCAGACAACTTTAATAATTTAGAGCAACTTAACTTAATTAACCATCTTTAGGTGCTCCCTTGCAAGTTCCATACTAGTTAGCAAGGTTTTGAATATTGTATCATACCAATGTACCGAGTATAATGACACATAATACACTAACGTGTACCGATGTAACACCTATATCGAGCGGTACAGTACGGAATTACAAACCATGCTAGTCAGTTAAACAATTCTGCTCTTGTTGAAGACTCGGCAACTTGTTTTATGTATACTATCAAAAAACCATTCTCCATATGCCACTTTAATCTTCTCAACCTATGTTCTTTCAATCACAAGTATAATATGTTGCATGGTGAATTTAAAAATGTAAAGCATGCAAATGGTGACATTCTCCTAGGAGGTTAGGAACCTTGGGGAAATAACATGGCTTTGAAGATAGTTTGAACCAAAGAGTAGCCATGGATGAGATAAATACCTTGATCCATATGTGATATGCTTCTATAGAATATCCACACACATAATTTAGTAATTATGCAATGTCATATATTTTCCCCTCTAAAATAACTAATTCCTAATAACATTTCATGAAGCTTCTTAATTTGCAGATAAAACAACTAACCTGACATGCAATTGATGAATATCGTTATGAAGGACAACCAATGAATGCTATCAGCAAATAGATAACAGCCATAATCTGCTTCATGTAACATATGTTATCCAACTCCATCTCTTATATGTGCGCTAGCCTCTTTAAGTCCTTCATTACATACTTAAACTAAAGAAACCACAAGAGCAATCTGGCATAGTCTCATGATGGAAAGTCCTCAATAGAACCTTGCCAGAAAATACATATTTCTTGGCAAATATTGGAGTGCCGATGCACCTCAAACATACTATTGTTATTAGTAGCAAAAAATTGAAATCGTTCAACATGCATAATACTTACCAAACAACTCTAGATATTATCATATCTTATATTGTGAAGTATTTTTCAACACAGTCAATAGTCTGGAGATCGTTCAACAATGAAAATCAGAAACATTAAAGGTTAACATCATCGTGAAAATCAAATTCCAGCATTCAAAAAATATTTTCCTTTTAGTGCAAGCACATGAATTGTAGGCATGTTGCAATAAGGCATCCCTACAAGAATGTTAATGAAGACATTTATTCATTAATAACTCACAGATGCCACATCTTTTCATGCAAAAGTTTTACCCAAACAACCTTGTATACTTAAACTCACAAAATGGTATTTGGAGTATCAAGAATTTACCTTTGATGTCCTCAGCTCATTTACTGTCACTCTAAGAGAATCATCTGACAGTATCAACCTTGACAAAGCACCAGTGCTTAGCCTGCACTATATGATTAAGAAAGAACTGAGGCTGTGTAAAAGTTTAAGTTTGATGCTCTTAGTGCTATGTTAAAGAAAAAATCAATGTTTAGATCATTCAGATAAAGCAAATTTGTGCCACCTAGAGCTACCTACTAGCTGGCCCAGAAACCTAATGATAATGCCACACGAGTTAAAAATATGATAAGGATCAAACAGGCTATGGCCTGAATGTTCCTCTGAGTGAAAGTTCATTGGACAAACTCAGACCTAGGTGGAAGCAAAACAAGAAAACGATTTCAAAATAATTTACCCTACTGGTCATCTCTCATTTGCATTAAAATTATTCTAACAAAGGAAATACTTTCGACCACTCAGTCCCACAATAGGAGGATGTCAAAGAGAAAAGGAAGTGAAGAATTAGTATGGTGGAAGAAATGATGTGATAGAATCCGATTGTTTCATCACTCACCGCTGGCATGCTGATGATTGTTTGAGGTGATGGTGATGAGATTTGAAATAGGTAAACAAATGATCAAGTTCCCCAAATCTCCCGAGTTAAGGGAGAATATGATCAAAGAGCTATTTTATCTAGTTTTTGTTCAGGAATCCATGTATCATTCCTCCAAAAGAACTGAAAATGGAAATAGGTTATTACTTAATATTGAGTGCAATGAGCAAACTTCAGTTGCAAATGTTTGCCAACGAACATAGGGATGATCTCTTTATTAAGATAAAACGAAACAGAGCAATATCATACTGAAATAAAGATATCCAGATTCTTTTGCACAATCAGCATAAACACATGGCACCAAGCATTTACTATTGTATCATTAATCTTGATTCATGAACTCTCAGAAAAGAAAGAAGGCCAAAGAAATAAAAATACTTCAGTTAGATAATTATTCATTTCATTAATCCTACAAGAAATAAGAGAAGAAAAGAGGAATCTTGATCAAGTTTAAGTACTAAGGTTTCACATTTGCAGTATGGTCCTTAGCATAATCCATGGTATGTTTCACAAAGTATTAAAAATTCTTTAGGCAGATATACATGGATACAAAAAGGAGCCATAAACAATGTACCCCAATATTTTTGCTGTTTCTGACACGGAGCCTTCTACAGAAAATATTAGATCTAACAAAGCCTGCATTCCCTGTCAAAGGAATAGAATTAAGAAAAAACAAGGATCCCAAAACTTAAACCATGTCAAATATATCCTCATGGGTAGAATATAACATTTGAAAGAAGTGGCTCACAAGTACCAGAGCAAATTTAGGATTGTTGGGACCAATCTGAGGACCAACATCTTTTCCCCTAATTGTTGACTTGGCAGGTAGGATCTGAAGAAGCTCTGAAGGAGGTGTGTATCCATCCAAGTCTATTGGCTTCCTGACTAGTATGTGTATTTCATAAATCAGATGCGTGCAGTACTTAAAAAAGAAGGGAACATGTCCAAATGAAACAAGATCACTTCAATGGGAAACAATCAAACTGCTTTGAAGCATAATAATTGCAGCATGCAATGTACAAAAAAAAAAAAAACACTTCAAGGGTGAGATGATGGTGAATGATTACACAGAGATACCATCCATGTTCATTCTAAAGAAGGTAGAGAATTGATAACAACTTCGACAAAAACAACTTAAGTTGCAATTTAAACAAAAAAACAAAGCACCGACGGCCAAAGCAGTTAGTGAATCAAAGAATAGAAGGCCTAATGTTCTTAGTCACATATCTATGTCCATCAACAAGTTTGGGGGAAAAACTATTCTATCAAATGCACAGAAAGCAATAACTTCTGCATTATTAATGTGACAGTAACGAAGTCAAGGAATCTCATGAAGATATGAAATGTAGCCGAGAATGCTACCTATATGAATAATGAATAGCAGGTGACCAGTGCTTTAGTACATGAATCTGGAATAACTCGTGGAGCAGATAGTCTCGAGAATGGTACTGTGTTCATCGATTGATATTAATCACAAGGTCATTCTTCTTAGGTATGCTTAATAAGATGAAAACAATCTATTTTTAATAATGATGAGAAGTTTCCAGGTATGGGCTGGCATGCTCCTTGAGCAGCTAACTCCATAATTACAGATACACTCACAAACTATTAAACCCCAAAAGGCAGACAGATCCATTCGTTTGTAGATCGATGCAACATTAATTTCGGCATAAACAAGTTTAATTTATTTAAATTTAAATTTCGTTAACGGAACAGATTCGAAACGTAACCTTTGAGAGCCAACAAAGTCCGCAATCGGGTCAGAGCCATCGCCCGGTTTTTGTGCTGTGACCGCTCCTCGACGGCCTGCAAAATTCAAACTTTTACATCCCACAACGTTGTGTGTCTCAGAGAGAGGAATCGACAGAAAAGGTGAGAGCTTTGGAAGGGGAAGGCGGGACCTGGGCGACGATGCCGGTGGGTCGGTGGGAGAGGCGAACGGCGGACTCGCGCTTGTTCCGGTGCTGGCCACCGGGGCCGGAGGCCTTGAAGGTATCCATGTCGCACTGCGCCATGAGCTGCTCGTCGGAGAGATGGATGTAGTTAGAAGCGGAAGCGGCGGCGGCGGCGTCGTTGGAGGAGGAGAAGGCCAAGGTTGTGGCGCGGGGATTAAGGGTCCACGGGAGTTGGACGAAAGGAAGACGAGAGGAAGTCTCGAGGGAAGTGAAGGAAGCCCATCTCAATAGCGCTCGAGCCATCGACTGCAATCATAGACGCAACGGAAGGGCAGATACCTAAAAGAGCGCAGCACGAGTCCGTAGCAGTGGCCACGAAAATTCAACACACCTCGGTTTTAATATTACATATCTGGTAAAGACGGAGTCTTCAGAAATCTCTTAATTCTAGTATTGCAAACACACCTCAGTATGAGAATCTATAATTAAAAAATATATATATATAATTCGTGAGCTGTCATGACAAGAAAAACAATTCGGATTCAGATGGAGTTGAAGTGATCATGATGATTTCGTAGTTCCAAATGACTCAATACTAAAAGTGTAGCTGAAGTGCCTTCCCTCCCTCCCAAAGCACTTACAGCTGAAAAATAACTCTGCTAAAGTAGAAGGAATGAATAGCTCACAGTAAAGCCTAATTCGAGCAGACTCCATAGAGACTGATGAAACTATGTACCTATAAAATGTGACACGACGAACAGAAAAGAAAAAGGAAAAACAAAAGGTATCAGTAGATCATCTTAAGCTACCATCTGAAACAACCAGATAGTTTTAGGTCCCCGTTCTCTTTTGACGACAGCATCTTGGGCACCTATAATCCTTGAGTCGTTCATACCGTTCAGGTGTAGTCTTCACACACCGTCCATGATACCATGTCACACACATGTTGCAAAATATCCAGGATTCGCCAAAAGCAAACCTGTTTCCACAAGCACCGCATATGATACTGCTAGTGTCGTCTCCCATTGTGTATAGTTCAACATCATCCTCATCTTCCTCTTCCTTTTCTATCAGAGACAGAGGCAACCCCAGATTTTGTAGTCCTGAACCCTAGAAAACATGAAGTAGGAAAGAGTAAACTTACAAGATACATGAGGAAGAATGATACATTGATGTTGCTAGCTAGTGGTAATTGTACTCACACTTTTGGAGCTCGATTCACCCTCGTTGCTCTTACTGAGGGTCTTGGGCATCTTCACAGTTCCAAATACAACCTCATATATAGTAGGATTACTATTTATCATATTGAAAAGCCGTGACCTGTATCAGTTGCACCACAAATCTCCATCAGGAACGCACTGTAGTTCATAATGCATGAATTAACACACATTCGGTGGTGTGCACTACAAAGCAGTACACATAGTTTATGACTTATGAACTACAAAGCTGAACTATAAAGCAGTACACATAGTTTATGTTTTATGAGGCATATGAAGTCTTGTCATTAAAGTCACTAGATTTACATATGATTTTTATTGACTTAGAGAAAATCTTACGATAGAATTACTAGAGATTTTTTATAGTGAATTTTAAAAACAAAAGAGGTACCCACTAATTATATTAATGTTATTAAAGATCTAGCAACTAATGTTAGACCTATAAAGAATGCGTCTAGTGAGTTTCTTATTAGTATAAGATTACATCAAGAATCCATATTGAGTTCGTACCATTTTACATTAATAATAAATAAATTTATTAATCACTTACATGATAGACTTTCCTGGTGTATATTATTTGTTAATGATATTGTCTTACTTGATGAGAGTCATAAGTAAAATTAACTATAAACTTGAGCTATAGTGACAAGCCTTAGAAACTAAAATTTTTAGATTAAGTATAACTAAAACTGAATATATAAAATACAATTTTAATGATTCTAGAAATAGATAGGAGAATATAGTTAAATTGAATGGATAAAAAATCATTTTAAGTAAAAGCCTTAAGCATCTTGGATCAATTATTGAATAAGATGGAGAGATCGATGAAATTATTATTCATAGAGTAAAAACAAGATGGTTAAAATAACGAGGGACATCAGGAGTCTTATGTAATCATCAAATACATTTAAATTAAAAGAATAATTTTATAAAACAATTATGAGATCAACAATGATTTATAGGTCTAAGTGTTGGGCAGTTAAGAAAAAACATACACAAAAAATTTGTGTTGTCGAAATAAGAATATTGAGATGGATATGTGGAGTTACTAAGAAAGATAGGAAAGAAATATTTTTATTCATGAACAACTAAGTATCGTTCGACAGAGGATAAGATGAAAGAAAATAATTTAAGATGGTATAGGCATATGTACTTAGGAGATCTCCGAATGCGATAGTCAAAATAGGTGAAATGATTAATGTTAGTGATATAAAGAGAGGTAGAGGAAGATATAAAAAGACTTTAATAGAAACTATAAATAGATCTAAGTACTCTAAACTTAACTAGACATATGGCTTTTTACATTTCTCAATGACAGTAAAAGATCCATATAGTCGATCCCAAATAGTTGGGACTTACGACTTTTATTATTGTTGTTATTGTATGATGTCTTAGTTAATGAAATCTATTAAGAATCATCACTAGTTAATGAATTACAATAGCTTGGGAAACTTCATTCTATACTATGTATTTTCGGTTTTAGCATAAAACAAAAAAATGGGTACAATCGCTAGACTCAAAACATATATATATATATATATATATATATATATATATATATATATTACAAGTTAGAATATCAACAATAAGTTCGGCATTAGACATCAATTCAAAGAATTTCAGATATAATAAATTATCTGTAAATAAATAGACATTTGATAATAAATATTAAAAGCATGGCTGAAGTCTTTTCACACACTTAACGACATGTCAAAACAAGGCTTTCATCTTAGTCAGGTCCAAGGTTCCCACCACAACAAAAATGACAATCTAATTCATTATTCATTCGATAGAGTTGAAAATCGAAATGTCAATATGCAACTCTATATGG